AGCCAGAAGGGTCTCCTACACCACAAAACAAAGAAAGCGGCTTGGAATCTTATTGAGGAAGCTGTGTATTCATAGAGGAAAGCGCATGTAAGGCTACACATTGTCTTTGTGTCTCTGAAACATCTGCCTATGGACTCAACACCACTACTACAGTTGGAGGCACTGTTTTGACCCGTTTGGGGAGTTTTCAGGAAGTGGAGCCTGATTCGTGGAAGTAGATCACTAGGGGAGAGTCTTCAAAGGCTAATAGCCTAGACCCCAGGCCTGTCTATTCCTAGCCCATCAGGATGTGAATAGGACCACCATGCGCTCCTGCTACCATGAACTTGGCTATGTCTTCCCTCTTGTGGTAGGGTGAGACTCTGAAACTGAGGGCTGAAATAAGCTTTTCTGCCCTGGAGTTGTTTTTATCAAGTATTCTGTCACCGAATAGGAACTAATTTAAGCCCATTTATGAGCCTGCTCAATTTAAGGCTCATGTCTGAAAAGGAAAGATAATCAGCTAGCTTGTCCTTAGAGAAGTTACTGTGATAACAAGCAAAGAATGAACTGGGTTTCGCTAGACCCTGGCTGGTTCATCATGAAGTTCTTTCTTCCTGTCTTCTTGTCTTTCTTCTTTTCTTCTTTTCTTTTTTTTTCTTTTTTCTTTTGATTTCCTTTGACACTATCTCCAGCCAAAGCTGAACTTCTTGTGTAGCCAAGGATGACCTTGAGCTTCTGCTATCCTGACTCCAGTTCCAGGATTCTGGGGTTACAGATGTGTATGAGATTTATCAACCTAGGGCTTCCTGCTTGATAGGCAAGACTTTTACCAACTGAGTTACATCCCCAGTCCATCATTGTAAGATTTTGCAAAGAATCTTAACTAAGACGACAGAAACAGGAAGTTGGTAGGTACTTTTTAACAGTGTTTTTAAATAACTCCCCCTACAGATACATACACAACCGTAAATGTATTTCCCTAAGCTTGGCAGTAGTGGCACACACTTTTAATCCCAGCAGAGAGAAGAGGATCTCTGAGAGTTCAAGGCTAGCCTGGCTTGCAAGAGCTAGTTCCAGGACAGCTAGGGCTGTTACATTGAGAAACCTTGTCTCGAAAAAGAAACTAAAAACAAAAAAATTATTTCCCTAAAAGTATCCATCCCCCTTAGGAACTACAGCTCTAGCAATCACTATTTTGCACTCATTTTGGCATATGCTATTTCATTGGCTTGAAGTGAAAGGAAATATCTTGACTTTCAATCCTTAGAAGTGAACATGGAATGGTGTAGGGGGCTAGTAGGTCTTTGTGCTCACAGATATGCACTAAGGGAACCAGAAATAAGCACACAGGGTTATCTCTTCAAAGGTGTACAACCTGTTTGCCTCCCTGAAGGCTATAAACAGACGTGATTAATAACCTGTTGACCTTTGCACCTACGGCCAGGCCACACCAGAGTCCCGGCCCCCAGACCCTTATCTTGAACTTGTTTGTCTTGGTCAATCTATAGCCCTATTCTCCCCTCAGATCCTTATCTTGTGGCCATTTTCTCAGTTAATCTATACAACCTATCTTTCCATAAAGATATTACCATCTTTATGGAAATGTCACTTACACTTTGCAAAGAATTTCAATGTAGTCACATCTAAATCTTTGTGTGCACATGGAACTGAGCTAATTGTGACTGGGAAACTTTTTCCCAAATTATGCTGTGCTTAAATATGTCTGAAATAAAGTACTTGAGGTCAGACTTTTGAAGTCTAAACCAACATCAGCTACTGAGTCATGTTGAATTAAATTGTCTTCTTGCCTCTCATGGATGGACACTTCTGGCCAAGGTGTTTGCAGGGACCCTCAAGAAATATAGATAAAGAGCTATAATTATATGCTATCCAGAAATGAAAGGGACATATCAGCAATGAGGGTACAGAGACATGGTTCTATACTGCAACCCTCAGCAGCCCAAGGAATTCTCCTAAGCCTTGAAAACCTCAAGTCAATCAAAACTTAGTTTTGCAGCTTTGAGGATGAAACGAATTTCAAGGCTAAAAATCAGACTTGGTGATTGTATTCAAGATATTTTAATCCAGGCTTATACATGAGGGTTAAGAGAAAGAGGGGCTCTCAGAAGAGAGTATGACATAGCCAAGTGGGGATGTCTGCTTCCCAAGGGAGCATAGGGAAAGTAAGCTGTACCAAGAATAGGAATGGGTTTCTTAATGGAGAGGAGGCCATTAATTATCTTCGTATCAGCTATAAGACCATGTTGGTGCTCTCGAGTTACATTTCATATTGTTGCTAAGAAATCTGCCCCCTTCTCTCTCTTTGTTGAGAGTGAGACCAAATGAGTCTCCAAAGATGCCATGGATAAAATCTGATGAGATGAAACCAGACGCCAATGAGGTTGCACAGCAGGGTTAATTCATGTCCTCTCCCTGTAAATGTTTGTTTGTTTGTTTGTTTGTTTTTTGGGTTTGTGTTTTTGTTTGGTGTGATTCCTAGGAGTTTGCAGCTGTGTGGCTGGGAAGGGTGAAAGGTCTTGAGCTGGAGATTTTGCTCAGATCCTGGTGAAACACGTCAACCAGATGCCTCCATTCAAGGCTCCCCTCTCTCTTTCAATATCACCCCAATTTTCCCTGCATTTTCATTCTGCCTCTAGACAGCCTCAGAATTTCAGGACTTTGCAAGGGAACAGCAGAAAATGAAATAAAGAAAAACAGTAGACAAACCACCATTAAACAGAAAAAAAAAACCTGATTGTATCATAATGACCAATCAAGACAGCTGTGGATCGTCCTTGAGCGTGCTGTCTGTATTTCCTTTCTTATTGTTCCAAAGTCAAGATAACAACTCAGCAATTACAAACCATCATTTAATATGCACCCTTCCAAACTGGAAGCAGCGGAGCCCTAAGAGGCCTCGAATCTGTTGGCATAGAACCAGGCTGAAATGATTTCATCCTTCCTTTCTCTCCTTCCTCCCCTAGCTGGGAGCTGTGGTGCATTTCTACTTGAACTTGAATTTAGAATAGATGTGTGAAGATCTTACTATAAATTGAGAAAGAATCTCATATAGCTTTAAAGTTATAAAATATGTCTCCTTATCAGCAGGCAAACCCCTTTCCCACCCTGGCATCCCCACAGCAGGAAATACTCTGAACATCCAAATTGAAAATAATAATGAAATGCATTAGTTTATATGCTAATGATGAAAATGAATGGAAAACCAAGTGCCCAGGAAGTGGGAGGCCAGCCTGACCTAAAAAGCAATTCCAAGCCAGGCTGCATAGATAAAGAATTCTGGTCTCAAAAAGAAAAAATATATATAAAGTTTTAATGGTATTTTATTTTATCATTTTTAGAGTTTTTTAAATTGATTTTTAATAGAATACAAAGAAATGGGTTTCACTGTGATATTTTCACATATATAGATGTGTCGATGTGTGTGTATGTGTGTTTATGTATGTGTGTATGTATGTATGTATGTATGTATGTACGTACGTATATTTCCCACCCCCATTGTCCTTTCCCATCTTTCCCTTTCTGATTTGCTGTGTAGCAATGCCCTCCAGATTGAACCATTCCATCCTGCAGGTAAACTAATTAAGACAGGAAGTAAGCAACTCAAAATAGCTTTAGAAAGTCCCTGAAACTGACCAGATTAACTGGGCCCCTCCCACTCCAAGTATATAAATAATAAAGACTACCAAAAGTCACTCTCAGACAAGCACAGCTACTTGAAAAAGGCAGAGATAAGACCAGCGTGAGCAGAGACCAATCAATCTGGAAGAAACAAAAGCCAGTCTAGATGCCTGGAGGAGCCTTAGACCAACTGAGCCACCTGGAAAAGACACCTTAACCTACTGAACTTCAGGACACTCCAGTCTTTCCAAGCTGTCTCCAATGCTGATGTGGGCTTTAGTGACGCAGCTGTTTTTGAATCATTTCTTTCCATAAGTAACCTCTCACAATACTTCTATAAGTAACCCCACCAAAAATCATTGGTTCATCAACTTGAGCTTTGGTGGTATCCCAACTTCCATCTGTTGTTGGTTTCCTATCAGTAGCGTAAAGATGTTTGTTCCAGGTCTCTACAAGAAAAGTCTGTCACACAGCTTTTTCTTGCTTTTCTTCCACCTCTATAGGCAGAGACCACTCACTCATTTCCTGTCCACCCAGGCCCAAAATAACCACACAGAAACTGTGTGAATTGCAACACTGCTTGACCAATGACATTTAGTGAATTCTTAGCTTGCTCTTATATCTTAAATTAACCCATTTCTATTAATTTGTGTATCACCACATGGTTATGGCCTATCAGTAAGGTTTGGTCCAGCATCCAGCATCTGTCTTCTGTGGCGGCTACATGGATTCTCATTGACTCTGCCTTCTCTCTCCTCTATTTGCTTGGAACTCTTACCTTGCCTTATTGCACTCTCTAATAGGCACAAAGGAGCTTCTTTATTAATCAATGCTATTCACAATATACACAGGAGAATCCTACATCACCTTCCCTTTTCTGTATAAAATAAAAGGAAGGTTTTAACTTTAACATAGCAATATTACAAACAACAAAACAGTTATCAAGCAAAAATTATAGTTACAATATTCATATCTACTTTATTTTTTATCATAACTAAGGACAACTATAATCATAACTATCTATTCTTCAACTCCATCAAAGACTCCAGAAGGATATAACATTACCTAAGTAAACAGGAAGTGAATTGTAAGCAACTTCCAAAACTCTAGAATTGACAGAGACATCTTGCTGTCTGGACAGTCAACAAAAGTTCTTTTGTAACATTGGAGCACCCATCTTCAGCCTACAGGCCCATAGTGTCCAGCACACTTTTCCATGAAGTAGGAAATTTCAAAGATAATTCCACCTATATTGTCAGTTTGTCCGTCACTTTCTTCTGTGTTCTGCATAATGTCTGAGAGACTCTTTCATGAAGGAGGAACCCTGAAGAACCATCTCACCTTTAAGCAAGTTCAGCAGTCATTTTTTTCTGTGGGTCCTGCATGTCCAGTTCATACAGCATAACATCAAGCAGTCCAGGCAAGAACAGTTTCTTACCAAAATGGCTAACAAGCTCCCTAAGGAGCTTCTTTGAAGCCCATCCTCCTTTTGAAGCAGATTGGTGTTGCTAGGAGCAGATGAGTCTCATTGTCATGAAAAGTCCTAACATTTTAAAAGATATATTCTGTAAGTCTTTAAAAGGTTTGAGGAATAACTATCCATCTGAAACATATCTCTGCACATCTAGAAAATCTAACCAACATTACTACAAGCTTGACTATTATGGATGACTATCTATTAACCTGTATTTCTTAGGAATATATTATATTTTTAATGAGCTGCACACACACAATACCTTAATCAAGAGCAGAAATACAATATAACAAAATTGACCTTAAATTGGTATCATTAATAAATCAAGACCCATACCAATGAAAAGTATTTATCTCTATAGTATATCCCCCCTTAAATGTAAACAAATGTTAGTAAGCAATAATTTTGAAAATTTGGGCATAGTTTTCTCCAAACTATTTCCTGCTGTTTATTGGGCTAAGCATTCCTAGGGTTCATAGAGATCTCTCGGGGGATTCTGTTCCATAAAACCACATTAACCTGGAAGGAATCCACATGTTCCCATATTCTGTGGAAACAAAAGCAGAACCTCTTTTCCAAAGCAACATATATTTAGGCCCAAATTTTGAAGTCAAGATACCTTTAAAATATATATGTTGGCTTAGCTTAGCAGCCTGTACAATGAAATGTCTCTCTGTACTTAGCTCATTCACAGTCAAAAAATTCAAAGAAACACAATAATATATATAATCTAGCATATAATAATCTCTGTGTATATTTCATCTTTACATGACTTATTTTTTTACTCCTTTAATCTATGCCTGTCTGTACTCTGTCTCTTTAAATACTTGGTTTTACTTTTTAGAAACTATTTACTTCTTTTTATAACTCTTTATACTCTTTTTCTTCTCTCTGACAAACCTACGTGCAATTTGTAAACACAGTGTGTCTCATTTAGAGGTCTTTTATGTCTGAATCTGTCCTATTATGTATTTGAAATCCTTTTCTGACCAAATACATTTTTTCCAAACATTTTATTTTATTTTATTACATTATATATAATACCATTCAAAATTTCCACCTCTTTCCCTCTTCCCCAAATACATTTTAAAATGGTAAGCAATGTGGTCACCATGACCAGGGATACTGGTTTAACTGGCAGCTCTGGGACCACTGGGAGAGAGCCACACTCCCCGCCTCAACTCTGGTAAGCAGTTGGCCCATGCTGCCACCAAGTCACTTGCAAGGCACTGCCCACAAACCCCATTCAAGTGCTCAGCCTCCTGAAATAGTCAGAGTTCATGCAGGCAGCATGAACCAGGAAGCCTCTGCAGTGCAGTTTGTTAGCTGCTAATGCTGAATCAGGAAGACCTCTCTTAAAGGAGCCGCAACGCCCCTGCTCGTGACCAGCAAATAGAGCCCACCTAAAAAAAAGTGTCGGCTACCAAGAAGCTATACTTAACTCTGTTCTTTTGTATCTAGAATTCCTTTCCAAGCTTTCTCGGGTTTTATGTGGATGTAGTCAGCCCTATGTTGGCATGCCAGTCTGTAGGCAGAGTCTACTCATTCGTTTTCCATCCACCCAGACCTGAAATAACCACTCAGAAACTGTATGAATTGCATCACTGCTTGGCCAATGACTCTAGCATATTTTTAACTAGCTCTTATATCTTTAATTAACCCATTTCTGTTAATCTGTGTATCACCACATGGTTGTGACCTAGGTTCTGTCAAGCATTTGACATCTGTCTCCTGTGGTGGCTACATGGCTTCTCATTGACTCTGCCTCCTCTATCTGCTTGGAACTCCCACCTTGCCCTATTCTGCACTGCAATAAGCCCAAAGCAGCTTCTTTACTAAGCAATGGTATCCCCATCATACAGAGAGAACTCCCACATCACACCCCCAAGTATCCCTCCCTTTGTCTTGGTTCTTCCCCCACCCCAGTGATTGAATTTGTTTTCTGACTGTTTCATACACATACTCAATTCGTTCTGTTTACTCTGCCCCTTCCACCCTCTGTTATCTCCCTTATGCCTGTCATGGCCTCCTCCTTTCTACAGGTCCCTTCTCCAATTCCTGTCTTTTTGCTTTGTTTTGCAAGCCACTGATTCTAATCAAAGCTCTCTGCGGAACTGCAAAACAATCCACAGGAACCTAGTGGACTCACCTTGAGTAGACAACTGAAGACAACGACTCTCCCTTCCCCAGAATCCATAAGTTGGCAGGGACAATCGGTGCTCATGAACCTTTTCCTATCTATGGTTGGCTGTCAATCAGCCCAGACTTGTGCAGGTCCTGTGCATGCAGCTGCTGCTACGGTGAGACTGGTAAGATCACATTTGCAATGGCATTCCTGTGCCCTGAAAAATAGCAATTTGCAGCCCTCCTCCCAAGCATCCTGCCCTGTATTTCTTGTTTTCCTTCCTCCTTGGTGTTCCCTGAACCTTAGAGAAAAATAATATAAATGTTCTGTCAAAAAAAAACTTAATTAACAAATTTTAAACAAATTTAAACAAACAAACCTTCATTGTCATTGATGTTGTTTTAATTACACTTTTCAGAAGTAAGTCTCTTTCAACTTGTGTTGATCTAAAATGTGAGAAATACAGAATTACTCGGTGTTCCCTAAATGCTCTGTAAGGCGCCCCCTGTGCAGTTCATTCTTTGGAGGAGTTACACATTTCATTCCGGGGACAGTTAGGACAAACATAAACCCTCAAGTCATCCTGTACCTCTAACCAGGGTCCCGACTTCCTGATGTGGGTGTGCCTCAGTGCAAGGGCCAGGCAGAGAGGAAACAGGGAGGTCTCAGTCCTTGCACACTTCTCTGTTATTCAGCACCTCATCAAGATCTAGGCCCACTGTGACTTGGCTCTTGCAAAAAGTCCCCTGACTCAGTAACGGAACCTGGAAACAATGACAGCTCCAGAGTTGAGAAGAAAGAAGCAGAGCACAAAAGCCACAGAGGAGATCAAAATGTTGTGCGTGGGGAAGGTGGTGGGGTCCTGTGGAGGAAGTAGGGAGGAAGGACGTTCCCTGCCTGCATTTGACGAACCCTGCTAGGGCGGCAGAGCATTGCGGATGCGCAGCTGATCGTGCTGCGGTTCTACGTCTTTGCGGGGAAGCTCGAAAACCTGATGAAAACCTGACGCGTGGAAAAAGAACAAAGGAAAGTCGAGAAGCTCATGTATATCAAAGGAAAGGGACTCGAAGAAATACCGCAAAAATAAAACTGCTTCAGCCCTAAACGCTTCGGAATCCGAGATGCTGATGCAGCCTCGTCGATGCAGCTGTGACTTTGAATGTCGCCTTTAACTGTCGCTTTGATAGCACGGCCTTTTGAAGTCTCTTTTTATATATTTGTGATTTACTTGGGCAACGGATAGAACTTGCTGTGGCTGCTGTTTACCCTCCGTAGGGCTCTGCAGTTTGGGAAGGCAAAAGGCAGGTCCACAGCCGCCCTCTCCTGGTGATTCTGCAGAACTTTGGCCAAGAGATCCAAGAAGATTAAGTTTGTTCGCTACAGCAATTTTTTAATTAAAGCTTACCCTCTTACGTATGGTCCTCAAATTTTTAACATTAGCCAGAGTCTCCAAGAGGCCTCCTGAAAGCTAGAAGCCTGGGTTCCACCCACAGAGTTTCTGATTTACTGGGCCTTGGGTGGAGTTCAATAATTTGCATTTCTAGCGAGTTCCCAGGCAGGCTGGCAAAGGGTGTTACTCAGAACCACTTCCTTGTACACAAGTCGCTGGGCAAGATGAAGAGCATTTTATTAAACTGGTCACCCTTTTTCTGTAGTAGAAGGGTGTTGGGAGATGAACAAAATGAAAAGCGTTCTTCCTTGCCAGGGTGTCCTAGGGAGTGACATTTTCTCACATACCTCTAGGTTCACAGTGAGGCCCTTTAACAAAGGTTTACAAGAGAGAGCATGCCAGATTATATAATATGAGTTTATGTGACCTGAGAATCTTCAGAAATCGAAAATGAGAAAACCTGTAGTTTTTAAAGAATTGTTTTTATTGGTTTTTAAAATTATGTATGTCTGTATACATTAATGCAGAAATCAGAGGAAAGGGTGCCCTGGATGGAGCCGGAGTTACAGGTGGTTTTGAGCCACCTGATGTTGGTCCTCTAAAAGAACAATATGCACCCTTAACCCCTGGACCACCTCTCCAGCCCCCTAAACCTGTGTATTTTTAATGCATAAACCTGATGAAGAGGGGACCTTGGTGGGAAAGCAGGATGGGACAGGGGCTCTGACCTAATGATAAAAAAGTAGGAGAAACTCAGCAAATCCTGTTGGGATTCTGGTTGGGACCTCACTGTCTTCAGCTTCTTTGTTCTTCGTAAACAGCGACTATCGATCCATAGCCTGCTGAGAAGAAAGGTCAGAAAATTCTTTGTAGGTTTTAGCATCTTTATCAAGGGAGTTGAGAAAGAAAGTCCTGCTTCAGCTTTATCAAATGCCCGGTGCCCATATTGGAAGGGAATGCGTCTTAAACCCCATCAGTGTCCTGAACACAGGTCTCCTACCCAGAAGCCAGTGCGCTCTCCGTTACCATGCACTGAGCGTTAACCCTAATATAAAGCAGACGGCAATCACTCCTGTCCAGCCATCCAGGAAAGAAAGCTTGCCTCAGAATACTGCAGAGATGGCTGACTCAGCAAGTAGTCACCCACCACCTTCTGATTCCTTCCACTCAGCAACACTCACCCCTCTTAGGAATACCCGAGGCACAAGTGCCTAGTGATAAAGACTAGACTAGGAGACTTCCATGGGCAGGAGCAACTGCAAGAAAGCTAAGCCATTTGTTGCTGTTTTCAACCACCTGCTGGCTTCTCATTGCCCTGAGGGAAGGTTCTTTGGGTTTGCCCCTGCCATCACACCACCTTCACTTCCCCCGTTCTTCTCACTTTACACTCTGCCTGCTCTAAACACAGCTTCTCTCTCCCTTTTGACCCCCTGCACCTGTGCATCAGCTACCTGAGCCTCTGGTACCTCTCGAGGCCACCACACTTCACAGACAGGACTTCTCTCTTCACTACCAGGAATCTCATGGCAAAGAACCCTCTGATGAAAGATAGGTTAATTATAGAAATGCACAACGATTCACCTTCTGTAGGTCTCACGTGACACAGGAGTCTTCAGACACTAAGAGCCCATGGGGCAGAGTAGCCTATATGGCCAGCACTTGGGAGATGAGGAGCCCATGGTCATTCCGGTCATCCTCACTACATAAAGATTTCAAGGCCAGTCTAAGCTACATGGAACCGGAAAATCTGTGAGTTCTTATGGACAGCTGTGCAGAAGTGGGCTTGGGGACAAAGGGGTATGGGCTGATGGCAAACTGGAAGGAACCTGGCCAGGTCTGTTTGCTCAGGCTTCCTTCGGCGCTTCTGTGTCTCCAGCGCTAACAATCTTGAAAAGAGTTTTCACCCTTCTGGATGAAAAGAGTCCTACTCTTGCATGAGGGTTTTATAAACTATTTTAAGGACAAGCCAATTTAATCATAGAGAGTACTAAGGAGCTGGGGGCAAGAGTGAGAGAGGAATTCTTTCTAGAGTCTGTGATCTGCCTCTGTTTCCTGAGATGCCAAGATGCTGCATTTCAGAGTGGAATGCCCAGACTCCACCAACTTCTGAAACAATTGAGTTCACGGTGACTCCTTATGGCACTGCCCATTTCATGGTGCTTTTCCTAGATGCTCCACCCCACCTAGGAGTGCCTGTCCTTCTCATCTCTGTCCTTTCACTTTTAGTACAGCATCTATGACGTAATAGACCCTCGAGATGAGATGAGGTGGGGAGAAACCAACTTGAAGATCTCCCAAATATCTGTCAGTCTGTCCTCTAGCAAGTCACACACAATGCTTATGGCACAAGATGCCAAATACACTCCCCGGTTTTCCCCCAACTTCAACCTCACAAGCTGAAATCCTTCCAAGAGTCTCTCGATAACCCAGAAGTGGTAGGTTACGTCTGCAACTGCAATATTTTGGAGGTGGAGTCAGAAGGATTGTTGTGAGTTCAAGGACAGTCTGAGCTATATAGTGAGTTTCAGACAAAACCTATCTTCAAACATTCTGTCTCAAAAAAAAAAGAACCATACATGCCTATGCATGCATATACATCACAGGAAACAAATCCCAGGAGACCAGAAAAGCTCTTTGCAGTAGAGAACAGAGTAGCTCATGTTACTCATGACCTTGGCAATGTGTTACTAAGAAATCACCTACTCAAACCCACCATAAGTTGTGTGGTCCCGATGGCCCCAATCCACCTTGTGGTATTGGAATTCAACTTGTTTCAGATATGAATTCAGATGTTCTTGAGACAGAGTCTGCCCCTGGAACCCTTATGTAGCCCAAGTTCAGCTGCCCAAACCTGACAATTCTCTCCTCCTCTTCACATGTGCTGAGATTTCAGGCGTGAACCACCATACCTCCTTGAAATCCAACTTGGTAAACCAGCCCAAACAGCAAAGAGGCATCTCTCTCCAAATGTGTCCCTTTTTTGCCCACAGATGTACACCCAAGCTTTCGGAGCATCTCCGAAAGAGAAACCCAAGTCCTCATTTATTTTGAGTGAAGATTTCCCTCTGAGGTCTAGGTCGTCTCTGTCTCCTGCACCATGCCCCTCTGTTAGTCCACCTGGCTCTGAAGGCAAACAGCTCTAGTCTGAGCAGACTGAGGGACATACACTGAATTAGACAGTAATTCTGTTTTAGCTCCTCCTGTCAGGCACAGTTCAGAATGAGGTCCATTTCTATGCCCCTAGGCTTCTATAGAACTTTGGGACTTCAAGGGCAGCTAACAAAGCACAGAGTTCATAGGCCGCCTTCAATCACGGCTGTGCCGAAGCCTTCCCAATGGAAGAGAAACTATATTTAAAGACAAGTCTCAAGGTCCTGGGTGAATAGGAAAGGTCGTTTCATTATTTAGTGAGTAATGGCCATTTGGCTGTGTCGCCCGGAGCAATCCAGGTTGCACAGAAGTGCTACCCGTAGGTGTGTGATCTCATCCGGGACACATTACCAGGAGACATGTGCCTAGCAGGGCAGAAGCTATAGAGCAATTCCCAGCTTGAGAAATGAATCAAGTTGACTTTCCAAAATCCTCCGGGGACACACAAAGAAACGTGGTCAAGGGAATAGCCTTCTCTGAGGAGATGATCAATTCCAGAGGTATTTCCTGCAAATTTGCAACCAGCAAGTCCAATCTCTGATCCAGTTATGCATGTCATACAATTAAGTCAAAAATACACTCATTTCCTGGACCTGTACTGAGCGTGAGTGACAATCATGATAATAAATTTAAAAGAAAAAAGGTGGAAGACTTTACAGATGAAACAGGTTTTGCCTGGTTCTGGAGTTATATGCCAGGCATCAGCCTGGAAGACTCCCCCTGCCCCTTTCTTCATAATTTCTCAAAGGAGGCCCATTGTTTGCTCTTGGCACCACTGGAAATAAATGGAACCCTGTGTTGTCCCAATGGTAATTGACAGCATTGAGCTGGAATCCCAGATCGATCACTTACTACATGAGCATTATCTTAGAAAACTAGCATTTTGTTTTTCTTATTTATTATGTTGTTACCGGGTTGGGGGACACACATGGAGGTCAGAGGACAGCTCTGAGAAATCAGTTCTCTCCTCCCACCTGAGTCAGGTTCTCTCTTCAGTTCAATGCCCCACCTTGCTGAAGCAGGCTTTCTTGTTTCTGCTGTCAAGAAATGTACACACATGTATCCATACACATGGGAACACACACACGTGCATATGCACGCACACACAACACAAAAAGCAAAACAAAACTTTTGAAAAAGGAGTTCTAGATCCTCCTTGACTACAGAAAGAGTTTAAGGGTAGCCTGGGCTACATGAGCTCTTATCTCCAAAACACAAACAAGTAATTCCATCTACCTACAGTGTCCTCATGAAAATGAAAAGGGTAGAAGGCCTAGTGTGTGTTTAAAAACAAGCGTCAAGGGTGTATATTCAAAGTCCTAAAGTGTTGGTTGTTATGGTTATATGTTAAGAACTATGCACATTGACAGTCTAGACATGCACTAAGCATGACACACACACCCTCTCCTTTTCTCTCTCCACTATGCTTTGGCTGACTCCCAGGGAAGTGTTAGGCAATATTATGTAGTACCTCTTATTTGCCAGTCTCCCTCATAAATCAGGATGGCTACAAAAGATTGCTCTGTTATCTCCATAGATACTGACACTTGTGTTTGATTGCCCAGTGGAATTGTTTCAGATGGGCTGACCCTAAGCCTAACAAAAGCATCTCTAAACCCTGCCTGACAAAAACAGTCTTTCAACTTACCAAGTGCTACACCCCCACCCCACCGGCCCCTCAGATGTTTACAATATTAGTTCTAGAATCCAGAAAGCAGTCTGTTTAAACCTGGCATATATGACGCCATAACAGAATGGGAGGGGGGGCTGGATTTTGCTTCAAGAACCTAATAACAAATGCAGGAGAGGAGAAAGAAAAGGTAGTGACCGCTGCCAGGGGAGAGCCAAGGCTCAAGCCAAGGCCAGGGGAGAGCCAGGGCTCAAGCCAAGATGTAGGTCAGTGGGCGGAGCAGGAAAGATTCCGGGAAAGAAAGCCATTTGGACCTCAAGTTAATTGATGAGCAGGATCTCAGAAGGCAGGGATGTAAAGGGGGAATTCTCGAAGGAAGGAAACGGAGAGCAAAGTTTTCGCTGCTAGAAAGCACGGGGCATACACCAGGAAATGTGTCATCTTCCTAAGCCTGAGCTTGGGACGAATACAAGTGAGTGAGAACTGAGGCTCTGGATGTAGTTAGCTCAGCTGCAGAGCCCCTGTGAGCTTAGGACAAACACAAGTGACTGGGTACTGAGGCTCTGGATGTAGTTAGCTCAACTGCTGAGCCCCTGCTCAGCACACACGTGCTCTGGATTTCATACACACACAATCACGGGGTGGGGGAGGAAGAGAGAAGGGGGAGGCAAGAGACAAGGGAAAGGAAGTTGAGGATTGAAGATGTTTAAAATCGAAGATATTTAGAAGAGAGATGAGACAGGATCAGAAATAAGTAACAGGGAGCAATAAAGATTAATGGAATGTAAAAATATAGGATAAGTGATGCTGCTCTTAAATGATAAACCTAACAATGGAGGCTAAGGTTGAAAGAAAGGAGCTAGAGGGGGTTCCTAATAGGACAGGTGAAAATTAGACTTCTTATAGGGATAAAATGGGAAAGTAAGGCATTAGATGTAAAACCTACAGATCTTGACCAGCGATTGGATTTGGGGGTGAAAAGAAAGAAATTAAGGATGAGCCCTATACCTTGTACCAAGATGTTTGCAAGGATTGTGACTCTGTCAAGAATTTGTCAAAGCTGGGTGTGATGGTACAAGCCTGTACCAGCTCTTTGGAGGTGGATGGATGGAGGAGGCCCAAATGGTCATTCTCTGCTACTTAGTGAGTTGAAGGCCAGCCTGAGCAACATGAGACCCTGTCTGAGAAAGAGAGGGAGTGGTACAGGTTGATGGAGGAAAAGAGGGGAAAAAAGGAAGGAAAAAAAAAGGAAAGAAAATGATGCCTCTGGCTTGTCCTCCAGACAAGCTATAATAATATGCTGCTTCTGAGGGCTTGAAATTGCAAATGATGAGAATTACTCCCTCTATTCTTTGTACAGAGGAGTGCGCTCTATGAGAATTATGGGCTTTTGGATAGTTGAGGAGAGAGGAAAGGATGGCAGTCCCAGAGGCAGAAGAAGGAATCAATCTTTCTCAGGTTTGTGAGAATAATCTGTCTCTTGTTCATAAAGGAGTCAGAAATGGATCCAGGGGGTTCTTCCCAACTGCAGTATCTGATAGCTGAGTGAGGGCCTGTTTTTTTTTTTGTTATTATTACTGACGTATCTCTAGTGTCAAGAGGAGTCCCTGACAACGAGTCTAATTAATGTTTGCTAGGTGAGCAAATAATCCCTCTTTCTCATCATAGGAAGCAAAAAGCCATAGAAGTCCCTCTGAGCTTGTTTACCTAGACCTCTCATTCTTCCAGTTGTTTCCACATCTGTTCAATAACACATGAAAATAACCCTCAAAGAGCCTGCTGTTTATCCTCACACGCCTGCAAAGCTGCTGGGGATAGCTAATTTCAGAAGAATTGACCAAGGAACCAGCAGTTATCTAGAGCAACTTATTTATGAAGGCAAACGAATTGGTCACACACTGGGGAGAGAGGCTGAATTAAGACACGTGTAACTGCTTGGCTTCTTTTCTCCATCCCATTTTGTATTTATAGGCTCACTGGATTATAGATGCCCCTCGGTGTCCATAGAGAACTAGATGCAGGACTCCCTGTGGGTATCAAAGTGTGTAGATGCTCAAATCCCTTATACAAAATGTCATTATTTGGATAGAACCTACACACATGCTCGCTGTAGTTTAAATCATCTCTGTGCTGCTTACAATATCTAATACAATACAAATGCTATTTAATTATTACACCATTGTGTTCAGGGAGTGAATGATGTGGATCAAAGAATCCCAAGTTTAAAAAAAGAATCCCAGGTTATCTACAAGATAGACCAATTATATTTTCTTTATTATAAGGGCCAAACTCACAAAACAGGAACGAGAAGTCCAACCTCAGTTATGTAGTACAGGAACGAGAGAGAGAGAGAGAGAGAGAGAGAGAGAGAGAGAGAGAGAGAAAGAGAGAGAGAGAAACACCCTTGGTGGGCCAGTGTTTTTCTCCAGGTACCCAAGCTTGGTCCCACCTTTCAAAGATCATTGACTGACAGATATTCCCCATTAAGGGAGTGATGATGGGAAAAGGTCTGTGAGCATATTTTTCTGACTTATTTTCAATCCACAGCTAGTTAAATGCATAGACACAGAACCCCTGAATACAGTTGGCCAGATGTCTATTCATCTACAGCCTTAGTATACAAATGGTAAGGTGGAGAGATGACTATCTGTAACGTGCTTGCCACGGAAGTATCAGGAGCTGAGTTTCA